GGGGGGGGCAACTCTTCATGTGAGACTGACAGCTCAACTGATGATGTGTAATTGCAGGAAACTGAAGTGTGTTTAGACTGAGCAGCAGTACGCAGGGTGCAGTGTGTCTGTGGACCAAAGCTGACTGCAGCCACACAGGAGGCAGATAGTCGGTGCTTCAGGTGCCCCCTTGTTTATAGGCAGCAGTGGAGAGCGACATAGCAAGGCTACAGGCACAAAGGTCCCTGCATCTCTCTCCTAGGAATCAGTGCATAAGTGGTTATAATCTCCAAGTACCATCCGTACCGATTGTATATAATTATTGTCTATAGGTTCAATGTGTGTGGGGGGGGGGGTTCTACTAGACTTTCCACCCCCCCTTTACTAGGAAGCATAAAATAAAGGGGAACATCCTGGATATTATGGGCAATTTAGAGACATCCGTGGAGGAAACTCACACAGCACAGAGTGCAATAAGATTCAACAACCTGCCTCCATGCTACTGGGTTAGATCTGTTTTTATGTATATTTTCCTGTTTTTATGTGTATATATATATAAAATTAGAATCAATAAGGTAGAGGTGTGTAGAACTGCAAAAAAAAAACATCAGAACATAAAGTGTGAGGTCTATGTCTTTCTTTGTAGCACTTACTGACTTAGAAATCATTAGGCGCATTTTGTATATCAAAGAACAACCTTTGCTGCAGCCTGGGTCTGAGTGACCGGCTGATGCCTCATTGGTAGAAAAGGGAGAGAGAGAGGCACGGCATTGGACGAAGCAGTAATATAACCACACTGTAGGTGCTTTAACTGTTATGGCTCAAAAATCAGCAGAAACAGGAAGTGTGCAAAAAAGGGAGGGGCTTTTAGTCCTCCACTTTTTATTAACACAACTAGATATTGGCACATGAACTCTCAAAAGCGATCCTATTAATCCGCAGGACAAATTAAAAGAGCGCAAAATGACCAGCTAACTGCTTTTCTGGGGAAGGTTGTTGAGGTGGGGGCATGGGGAGAATCCAGTAATATGCTCCTGGGGTGGGACAAGTAACCTGCTTGTTGAGACGAGTGCTAAGCATGACTTAAGGCAGGCTGAACATTTAAAGCTATTATATTATATTATATTATATTACTGTATATTATATTATCCATCCATGGATGGATGGATATTATATTATATTATATTATATTATATTATATTATATTATATTATATTATATTATATTATATTACTGTATATTATATTATATTGTAACCCAATCATTTAAATTCACTCAAAGAACAGCACAGGATAAAGACAATCTAAGCCAAAAGTGAATTAAATATAAATGCAGATATAATGTTAAAAATAGTCTATATGAGTGTGGCTACTGTAATTTGGGTTAAACCAAGGAAACCACACAATTTATTTTGACTACAGCACCAGTAATGACTTTTTTTGACGAGTCCCATGAAGGATTGAACTGAGAGAACTTTAAATGAATATTTTGATTAAATTAACCTAAATGTATGATGAATGAAACATGTTAGTAGACTATAACCTGCAGAGTCCCTTGTCTGACATAAAAGAAATATGCTTTATTTTTCCTATGAAGCCACTCAGAGTGTCGAACCATTTTATATTATGTATGTCACAGCAAATCCTGTGTGACCTGCCAGTCACTATCCAACACCCTCGGCCAGGCGGTACAGACGCTGCTCTCTCTGTCTTCAATGATCTCTTTCAGGGAAATGTGTGTTTGAGTGCTTCGCTTTTACATAAGACTCTTTTGATTGCTGCAGTTTTGGGAATGTTTGTGCAAATTGTAATACATTATTTTTGATTTCAACTCCCCTGAAACAAATCACATACAGTCACTGGGCCAGGGCTGTTGCTCAAGCTAGGAAACTGAGATGGTGAAGGGGCAGTGAAGGGGCGATGAAGGGGCGATGAAGGGGCAGTGAAGGGGTGATGAAGGGGCAGTGAAGGGGCGATGAAGGGGCAGTGAAGGTGCAATGAAGAAACAAATGTGAAACAGCTTACTGGGCAGTGGGCACCCAATACACTCCACTTCCCCAGGTACACCTATGATACCAACAACCATTTATGGATTTCTTTTCTACTTCTCAGAACTTCCATTGGTGCATCATAAAATGTAATGAGTAATTAAATACTTTTAAATTAAATACTTTCAAAATAATTAAATACTTTTTAAATACTTAAATTGATTCCATCATCAGTACTAGTTAAGAAGGAAGTACATAAAAAAGGACTACTGAATTAGAAAATTGAAGACTGAAATTAAATTTAAGACAAGAACATCATACTAACGCAATTTGTGAAATGGGCAATTTCCCCTCCATTAATTCATACAATTCAGTTTCACCAAAATTATTACAGTCCCTTGTGAAAAGTACCCAACAGCTTTTCCTGACCTTTTCACCTGTGAAAGCATCTGTTAAAATTCATTCACTGACATTAGTATAATTTTAAAGAATTGTAGTTTAGAAAAACTACACATCTGCGGCTTTATAGGCAACAAACACAGAGCTTACATTTAGATGACAGTGTGCAGATGTTTAAGGTTTACAGTATGACTTTACAGATGGTCCAGTTTTCTCCACTCTGCCATCCTAAACTGGTTTGTGTAGCCAGCAAAGGTGCTGTTGGGCTAATCTTTGTGCAAACGGTTGGTCAAGGTGGGGGCTAGTGTGTGGCTCAATGGGATAGGATGGGACTGGATACTGTCCCTATGATCAGAAGGTTGCTGGTTCAAATCCCATGATTTGAGAGCAGAGTGATTTAACCCCAGTTGCAACAGAGACTGACCTTGATTTCCCAATTGTTTTGGATAAACATCTGCTAAATAAATTAATGAGTCCAAAAACTTGAGTTAATGTGAACTGGCATCTCTAAACTGGGCTCAGTGCGTGAGTGTGTGTCTTGGTAATGATAGGCATCCTGTTGCTGAAGTCCCCTGCTTAGTGCCATGAGTTTCCTGGGATGGACTCTGGGCTCATGTGACCCTGTATCAGATGAATAAATCAGAAAGGGGTCAGTGAGGCTGGAGATTAGCCATCACGATTTCCCACAAACCCCTGCCCTTTCTCCCTCGCAGTAGGTTCGGTACAAGGTGTGCCCGTTGCAGACGCCACATCCACGCGAGCGACTGGGTGCGGAGGGCCAGGGGACACGCCTACCACCTGGCGTGCTTCGCCTGCTTCTCCTGCAAGCGGCAACTCTCCACGGGGGAGGAGTTCGGCCTGGTGGAGGACAAGGTGCTGTGCAGGAGCCATTACGCGGCCACACTGGAGACCTTGCAGTGTGCAACTGGAAACGGTAAGGACCATCTCAGATAGCTGTGGTCGCCCGGGATCCCAACGGGGGCCGACTTGTAGGGTTTACGCATTGTTTACCGGTACACAGGCAACGGGATCGTTTTGGACGGGGCAGAACCTTCAGAGCTGGTCTGTCAGCCCAAGCCAGCCAAAAGAGCACGCACCTCCTTCACAGCGGACCAACTGCAGGTAGGATGCGTACTGGATGTGCGTGAGCGAGTGATGCATCGCAGGTGCCGACTAGTGCGAATGAGCAGCAGCGTAAGAGCTGTTGAGAGATAGCCGCATGATTTATTGCACGTTTGGAAATGTGCACGGGTGCCGCTGACAGATTGCAGTGCAAGACTCTCTGTTTGGGTATCTGCCCAGCTGATGTAGGGAGTGCATGTTTTATTCATGCGTGCACACGGCTAACACAAGGGGGCAGTGTGGTTCACTCTGAACAGAATGCATTAGTGCATGCAAGACACGGGCGCCAATGTGTGACTGATTCAGGTGTGCGAATAGGTGATGCAGGCGCAGTTCGCCCAGGACAACAACCCGGATGCACAGACCCTGCAGAAGCTGGCGGAGCTGACCGGGCTGAGCAGAAGGGTCATCCAGGTGATCATCATCGTGTGACTTCAACTTTCCATCATGTGACTTTTTAAGGCCTCGCAGTGTATGCGCTGAATTAATTCCAGACAAAAGTGTTTTATCATGCCATTGCATTCGTCCTAGGTCTGGTTTCAAAACTGCAGGGCGAGGCACAAAAAGCACTCCCCCCAGTTCAACAGGCCCTCGCAGCCCAGCCCACAGGTCCGTTTGGTGCCGTGTCTGCCCGAGGATTTCCATTACTTACCGTTTGGCAGCCCTGAGAGAGCACGTATGCTGGCTCTGCACGGATACATCGAAAGTGAGTGGCAGCTTCACCCCTCCATGCCCATCCTCCTCCTCGATTCCTTTATCCCGTCGTAATTTCAAGCTTCAAGTTTTATTATCACATGCGTTCCAAGGAACAAAGTGAAATTCTTATGGCACACTTGCAGGATATGGAACAGGTGCAACAGAGAATCAGACACATAGTAGTGGAATACAACCCAAGACAATGCAAGACAAACGTTTGTGCAAAACAAATCAGGACACTGCAAGACAAAGAGTAGTGCAATACAAAACACTACTATAAAAATAAGTGAATAATAAGTAATAAAAAACATTACAGACCACCTCTAAAACTGCAGGCATCAATCCTAAGTCAATTCATGACAGTCCACAGATGTGTCGATATGAGGTATGTTTGAATAAGTAGCCCTGATACACTGTCCTTTAACTGTGACCCTGTGCTGCCCCCTGCAGGTCAACCCTTCTCTGTGCTGACTGCTCCGCCCCGCCCCCGTCAGGTCCTCACCCTGCCCCAGCTGCCAATCAGCCGTTAGCTGCCTCAAGAGAAGGACTCTCCTCTGTATTGACAGTGACTGAGCTGAGCTCTTTGGAGTTTTGTTTCAACTGGGAACTTTTCAGATAAAGAAGGGCTTTCCAGATGGAGAAGAACTTTCCAAAAGGAGTGGACCTTCCCTGCCTGTACTCAAATGGTCTCCCCATTTATTGAGCTTACAGTCCAGGATTCTCATATCACAGCCTTATTCTAAGAGCTCCTCAGTAGACACAAGACCAATGTGTCCCTTCCACACCCTGTACTGTACCTCCTCCATCTCTGCAGTTTCACATGCAAGCCATAGCAAGGTGGTGAGATGCCTGTTCTTAGTGGGAAACCACCAGGGTTTAGGCTGCTGGTTATACAAAAGGGAGCCAATCACATGGATATCTGCTGATGACAGACTGCTTCATGGCATTCCTCAGGAGTTGCATTTGTCCATAATTAATGTTTATGTTGTCCATTATTCATAATATCCATATTCCGCAGGGAAAACACAATTGTATTGCATGTGAGTAGAGACATATAATATTCTACTTGGAATTCATACTTAACCCAAATAACCTTGTCTACAGTCCATAGGAAAAAAAGACTCAATCTTTTATTTCCTTACATGTTTGGCATTTCTTAATAATTTTAACTGACAACTTGTTTCGGAATTCCTAAATATTCTAATTTATTTATTCAATTTGATCACTTAAGGACTAATGGATTAGTGCAGATATGAACTTCTTACCATTTTGAAGCATTTTGACTCATACCATATATCATCTGTCTCTGACTCAGAAATCTGGTTTTTTATGTATCAAACTAATCTCGGTAACACTTTGCCTCGTCCCATTCTGAACGCCAAAACCACTGCGCAGTCAAAGAAGAGCGGCAATTCTTTAAATGACCTCTCGAAGCGGAAGGTGGATGATACTTCAGCTGTGAACTGCTCCAGCACTGATGGAGAGGCGATCGCGACTATCGGTAATAGCATAAAATAAGGCAGCAGGGCTTCTCTGCTGGATGGGAGAGCGGACCCACAACACACACGAACGGCACACTGTCAACCAGCGGTCCGCTGGACTGAAGGCAAGGCTTCGCGGGTCCTTTATTGGAGGAAAAAATACGTGAGCGGCTTCATCATAATCAACCCATTTACTGTCATTGTCACCATATTTTCTGTACAACACTAAATTAAACCAAACAAAACATTATTTCATGTAAATGATTCATTGTGGAATTCCAGTCTATTTCCATATTCCATTTTGCAAACGAAGTAAGCAAAATTAGCGAGTACTGTATACACTGAACACATGCCTCCTTGCGGAAGTATACACGAGTAGGCTAGAGTTTCATGCGTGCTTTTGTGAGTAGTGTCCCTCGAAGCCCATGTGGCTTCACCACCACTCCCCAGCAAATTAGGCCGCACTAGGATTGATCGGTTTGTTTGAGAGAGACAGCAAAGTGCAAAACAGCAAGCGTCTTGTCAGGAAGGAAGTAATCGAAAGCGGTAAGCAAGTTCTCGGCCTATTTCTTTTTTTTTTATTATTATTAAGTACAAAAAAAGTGAATACAACAAATTGGCATTAGTTTGTGTACAAAAAAAAGAATTCTAGTATGGAAGGCTCAACATAATCTAACCAAATTAGATTCCATGCAGTGTATAACAAAATATTTCAAGAAACTAGAAAGAGAATCAAGTATACAAATAGGAAACAAAAACTAAATGAGAATAATAAAATAATAAATAAAAAAGAATCACAGCAACTTATATAATACAAACAGATTAAACAACTTTACTGCCTTTGGATTTTTCATTTTACAGTTCTCGGCGTATTTCATGGGTCACTGTGCCCAGTAATGACGTCACTGCTGTCATTTCTAGAGTGGAAGCTGACTTTCAGCCTGCTTGATGGGACTGATCTCATTGCCATGGTTTGCGAAGAAACGCACTCACCCGTCTTATTAAATACACTCTGGCCTTCACTGAAGAGTTTTAACTCTACATTCAAATGTGAACACATACGTGCGTAACTATACAGCGATTCATTGGATGCATTATTTTGAACGGTAAATTACGCACAATCATAATCAAACATTGAAAGATTTTTGATCTATGGGAAATGAGTAACTTTCACAGGTTCAAAGTTTAATGTAAAAAATGTCCCATGAGTATTATAAAGTTTTAATATTAAGCTCATATGTCTTGCTTTAAAATAAGTTATAGGCCTATTTTCTAAAACCTTTGATCTTATTATATTAGACCTATTTATTAAAATAAAATGCTTAGTGTAAAATAAATGAACAAAACCATATACACCATACACACAAAATACACCATCTGGTGTATTTGCATGCGGGATTCAGTTAACGTGGTATAGTGTTTGGAGGCGAGCTTAGTGGAAGCCCTGTTGGGTGCGCTTTAATTTTAAGCATTTGCACGCGGGCAATTTCAACACGTTTTCCCATTTTTCAAACACGTATGATGACGGCTATTGTGCTGTCAGCTGTTAAAAGTGAAAAGATGCATTAATCCCAGAAACAGCCGGGGTGTTTCCCTTCACAGTCTGCAGCTGCACGCACTTGAGCGCCCTGTCTCAGACCTAATCTGCTTTTATAAGTAGGCTTTAAGTTCCATTGCTATTATGTACGATGGCTTAAGCCTTGTCAACATATCGTTTCCCCAGGAGCCACTGTACCTTGCGGCTGTTTAGTAACCAAATGAGCGGCTTTCAGGGTCCCGCTAATGAAACGTGGTCTCTTAAGATAATGCGATGCCACCTACCCAGATCGCCGGGCGACAATCTAGAATTTTTTTTTTTAATTGCTATTCAAACTCAACGGGAATTTAGTAAGGAACTATCACACAGTTCCTGATTGCAATTATCATCAGCGCATGCTAATGACTTTTACTGCCATCTGCCCTCAGACCACATTTGATTACTTAATTAAGTCCAATAACCAAATTGATAAACCTTTTAAAGTATATCTGAAATATGCTTAATCAGTGCCATTAAACGCAGGGGCGTCAGAAGCATTTTGAATGTGTTGGGGACACACTGGCGGGGGGTCTGGGGACCCTCCCCCAGGGTTTTTTTTAATTAATTAGATACCATTTCCTGCAAAACCCGGAGTGGTCTTTCAGTGGCATGTGTATTCTCATATCGATCAAGTGGAAGGGATTCTTTCGCGAAGCAATAGAAACATCGCTGGGTGAACTAATATTTTATGTTGAATGTGTGATTTAATGGCGGCGACGCCCATGATTAAACACTAAAGCTTAACTGTTCTCCAATGAGGTCCGTCAGAATGCGAAAATAGATTTAATACAAAGGGACACCTGGCAGACTTAACATCAGGACAATGGGGTAAAGGGTCCTCGTTAAAAAGTATTTTTCTTAATCTCTAAATTACAGTCATTATGAAAATTAGCCTTAAAGGGCCAATTTTAAACCGCCATTTCCTATCAGTCGGTAATATTTAATACAAGCTACACAGACTGTTGATGTTGGTGATATCTTGTTTAAAAGTTAACTAAACACTAGGATAAAATAACTGCTCCGTATTCCTGTTCACATTAAAATATAGCCCACTGAAACCTTGAATAATGACTGACTACATGGCAGTCATATATATTGTTGAAGTGATACATTTGTTTCCAATTATTACATTGACCCGTCTGTTGTCCCAGCTACCAGCTGTCCGGTGACTCTGTGTGTATGTGGGTGTTCTGCCATACAAGAACCATCATGAGGTCTTAGCAGGGAGGTACACTGACCAGGCTGCATTTCAGTTTGAGTGCCTGTGACCCAGAAGTGTCTCCACACCTGTTTTAAAGTATCATTTATCTCTGACAAAATGCAAAAAAATGACTCCAAATGCTATGTAACATTTGTTATTAAGGATATTGTTGCATATGCAGCGCTGTTATAGGTAAATCTCAAATCCTAAAGCCTGTGTTTTTCCCCTGACATATTTCAGGCGTCCAGCCCTTCCTTCACCCAAGACAACCCTGTTCTCCTACATCTTTTTCCAGCTAGTCTGTTCTTCAACTGGGTACCTCATTCCTACCACAGAAATTAGATTTAAACCACAGTCATTCCTTGTCCATGACATCGCCCAGTACTGTATGGAGTTGAAACTGTATTGACATGTTTAGCAAGGAAACGTTTGGCTCTTAGAGTGAAATTTTCACTGAAAACCTGACAGACTCGATTCACTTCAAATCAATGATCCCAGAGTTAAAGCACTCATCAATGGAAAAATGTGTTTTACATTTTCTTCAAAATACAAAAAGTTTGATTAACTCCAATATGACACAGACTATCCCCAGACCAGGTTGAAAGTTGTTATCAGTTTACTTACCATTATGAACATTTTAAACATCCTCAGTAATGCAGCTTTAAGAATGAAATGACTTCTCACATATGACACACAGCATGTCTAAATAATGATGTATAAAAATAAGAAATACTTAAATTTTTTCTCTTGTCACTAACTTGACTCAATCAATTACATTTTAAACTAAGCCTTGCTCCATATATTAAATGAATCTTTTAAAGTAAGATTAGGTAGATTAGTTAACAGTTAGTAGCAATATCAAAATACTGAAATTGCTTGAAAAGGTTTTAGCCCTTGCAGGAGGCAAAAAGTACTATATTTCGGAAAGGAGTTCAAAATAGAATTCCCAGAAAGAATAATAAAATAGAAAAAAATACCAAAATGAGAACCAAAAATTACTCTGCGGCCCTTTCAAAGCACTTGAAAGAACTAACTCTCTCTTAAAATAATGTTGCTCGACACACGTATATATAAATGGTCAAAACATGAATAGAACATTCAAACAGCAGGTGAGCCAAACAAAAAACGTTTTCCCTTGGGTGTCCCCACCAATTTTTCAAGTCCTCATTTTAAATTCCTTCTGTTTTGATGTGTTTCACACAACTTCTTAAACCACTAATTGGCTGAAAATTACTGGTTATGAGAGCATTCTTGGAATGTTACACTTTACATTCTTGAAAATAAAATGTGGAAATTTTCTGTTTTGGAAATGTTTTACTTAAGTAACAGAGAACAGACATAGTGCAATATGCATTAGGTCTGCCTTGTTAGATAATGACATTATAGGAAGCTTAGAATAGTGCTTAAGATTAATGGAAATATTTCTACAACAGTAGCAGAATATTCTAAGAAACTCTTTCTTGAAACCTGTTCCATTCTAATGAAACATCCTTAACACATTCAGGTGATGTCATTTTTAAGATGATCTTTCACAGAAAATTTCCATCTTTATAGACTGTTCTATGGAGTACTATAATAATTTGTGATTTTCAAATTTCATTTGCTATAAATGGATTTGGTCATAACAAAAAATATTTTGTCATAGATATTTTATACATTCACAGTATCATACATTGTTTCTTCTTTGGCGAGGTACCATTACTTAGGAAATATTGCAATATAACACTTATCTAAAGCTACACATAAATAACTCTCCATCACAATGTAGCCAAAATTATCTGCAGGATTCCAAAGTTTTGATGTAGACAATGTAACTTAAGGCTGTATATAAGAATACTGGGAATTTCATTAAAATCATGTACTGCAAAAACACAACGGAATTCTCAAATACCTTGCCTACAGTATGTAATTTGGTTTAAACATTGCTTTTGGGGCAACTGAAATGATCATCCTAATTGACCTGTGGATCAACTGGTTTATTTTAGAAACAGAACCTGTACCAGTAATTATGCTACCAATTTCATTGCAAGCAATTCAGGCAGTTTCATTGCTGACACAGTATCAATTACTTTGAAAAAAAAAAACATTTCAATAGAAATATCCAAGATATTTCAGACAGCAGTGGTCTTCCTTCCATACACATCCATTTTCTGTACTCACTTGTCCTATACAAAGTTGCGGGGGTCTGGAACCTATCCCAGAATCTAGAGGCACAAGGCAGTGAACAGCTCTCAATGGGTGCCAACCCACTGCAGAACACGCACACATTCACACCTGTGGACAGCTTGGCAGCTCTAATTCACCTTAGCATGTTCTTGGATTGAAGGGGACAACTGGAGTACCTAGAGGAAACCCCACAATGACATGGGAGAACATCTAAATTTCACACAGATGGAATTTTGGCGGAGAATTTAACCCCAGGCCCAGAGGTATGAGGCAAAAAAGCTAACCACTGTGTCATCATGTCCACTGAAGCTGAGGGGGCACTTGATATCTGAAGTTGTTTTTTTATTTAATTTTATTACCTTTTAATTATTATGTATCTATGATCATTTTATACAATTAGTCAAACGTATTCTTTTAATTATGTCATACATATCATACCTCTAAAAGCTACACACCCCCTTGTTTGTGGTATTGGTTTCTTCTGAACCTCTTAACAGCAGGTATGCGCGCGCTCAGAACTTTGCCTTGAGTAAAAAAAAAAAAAAGAAAAGAAAAAACTTGATGTCGCAAGACATTAGGTTGTTGAAGTAGTTTGTGGAGCGTTCGCGTCATAAACTTCCTCAGAAGTGTGCGAAAATTAATTGCAACTATTTATACATAATTGTATTTGTGAAATATACGCATAGTTTGCTTTGCAAGATAGTGGGTTGCTACCTGTTAAAGTTCGCCATGCCTCAATCCGATTGTTTAGCCTTCTGGCTCGCTAGCTAGTCTTGGCTTTCAATAGCATAGCATGCTATTTAACATTACCAAAGGAGAGCTCTGTGAGTATCATGACAGTGAGCTGAAAGTGTTTATCACCAATATCACATGATTATAAGGGCTGATGGCAAAACGGAACAACTGAATTCCATTTGTTACCCCCAGAGGCAGAGGAAAAAAAATCAACATTGTTGACAAAAACGACAGAAAGCCACAGTCCTGTCAAATTACAGAAAATTGTGACATTATTTTCTCTTTTCTTTTTTTTGTGGGGGGGGGGGGAGGACTCCCCTACTCAAATTGTGCCCCCTCATAATATTAGCTTGCATAACGCCCTTGCCTGGCTTATCTTAAAAATAACTAGCTTAAAAACTAAAAACTATTGATTTCAAATGCAGAGAGGTAGTATATTTTTCACTTCTACATCAAAATATTAGAAATTTTTTGGTATATGTAATGTCGATGTGACAAATATTAATATATTAATTATATGATAGTATTCTAATAAAGGTAGTAAACATTATACTCGCATCAATAATATGAATATGAACAATTCTAAAAAAAGAATAATACTAAATGACCAATACCTGTAACGACTGTAGGAGGATGACGTACAGTAGAGATACGTTGCTTTTGCTGCTATTTGAGTCCCAGATGCATTTTAAATTTCAGCAGAGCCAACATGGCGGACATAAGCGCACAGTCTCCTAGTAGTAATCTGATTCGACACGGAGGCGGATATATCCGCCTTGCGCAGGCGCTGTAGCTTGACCTTCCTCTCGCGGCCTTGTACGCCGGTACGAAGTTTCGTCCTCTTGTGTAACGGGGACCTTGAGTATATTTCATTTTCTCAATTTAATTGAGTTGTATTTTTCTTTTATTGTACAGGGGGATAAATAATTAGCGCCATGCCGGGTACGGTAGAGCTCCCCACTCTACAGGAGCTTAATATTGAAGAGGTATGTGTGACTAGTTAGCCAGCGCCGTATTAGCTAACAAGCTCCATTTAGTCGTTTTGCATAGTCCTGTCATTATCTAAGCTTCGTGTAAAGAGCATTCAGCGTGGAATAATTGTTATTGTTAGCTACCCGACCAGCCAGATTTATGGACTTGGTATCAACGAGTTAAATATCGAGTTTGATGTATGTTCCTGTATTTGCATGTGAACCCTGACTAGCTGGCTAGAACCGATATATCTATCATCCAACTATATGGTTATTCAACACTTTATACGCAGCGATGATATTTGATGGTGGAATATGTGTTAATTGTGCGAGCTGCCACCAGAACCAGTCATTTAAGAAAGAACCCCCGCCTGTGTAATTATGCCCTCATTCCTGCACCTTATGTACTTGTGGAGGGTGAACTTGAAAACATTATAGTGTCAAGAGTAATACGATAACTTTCACGTTATACTTGGCTGAACTACACTGGTTCAAATCTGTGTTTTACAAAGATTTGCATCTTAAAAGCAGATACTTTCTATGCTGTAAGACTGGACAAGGCATGGAGACCTACAATGTCACTTAAATTACCTGTTGAAATGTATTTGTACCTTGGGTGCACAGGCAGGAAAAATGCTACTTAAGGAAAATATCTGCAGTAAATCGCACCTGTTCTTCATCTGCATCTCTGCATATGTTTAGAACGGGCCAGGGGGGGCATGTCCGTCAGGTTTGCTTTACTCCTTTTTTTTTTGTCTGCCTGGGATATGTTAACCATACCTCATTTAAACTGGACTTCTAAATGAAAATCGGCAGGTCAAACCATACGTGCACGAATGCACAAAATATCACGTGATATTGGCTGATTGAGATTAAGTTTTGAGATACCAACAGTCTGTGTGCAGTTACTGTCCTTGCTTTGGGACACAACAGCTAGTGTTGTTGCTTGAGTAACACTAGGTGAGATCCTTCATTAGGTACCCAGGTTGAGTCTGTTGCTTTTGCATTATTAAAATATTTTATAAACGTGAATGTTTTGCTGAATTGCACATGGTTACATTTTGAATAACGGAAGTGTTTTTGGAGTCTGGCGGCCAGGTGACTATGGATCTGACAGGGATGTTAGCAGTTGTGCATGTATGTGCATTCACTTGACTCATGGACCTCTGCGTGCAACAGGTGAATGTTTCATCAGCGGTGCTGAAGGCAGCTGCCCACCACTATGGCTCTCAGTGTGACAAACCCAACAAGGAGTTCATGCTGTGCCGCTGGGAGGAGAAAGATCCCAGGAAGTGTCTGGAGGAAGGCAGGAAGGTCAACGAGTGTGCACTGCAGTTTTTCAGGTACTCAACATGCCTGTGCAGACGGACTTGTGCTCCTTGTTAGCTTTGTACTTTTTTATCCTTTCATTTGCTAGTAGTGTAATGGATCGTGGTTGATCCATGATTGATACGGTATCCCAAACTCCCCCGTTTCGTCAGGCATGTGAACCACGGATTAATCACAAAATTTAACCATAATAGTGTGAAATTCAATTTTACTGTAGCAGTTACTTTTTTTAAAGTAGTAATTGCCTTAATCGCAATGCTGCAGAAGTTCATAGAGGACATTCACATTCATTCAGTGTTTGAAATTCATTTATCACAATGGGGGAGAATTCCTCCCTTATGTAGAACATGGGAGGAATTATAGATTTTCATCTGGAATGTAATAAAAAAAAAACTGCATGGATTCAGTAGCATTACCCATGGCATTTTTTAGTGGAATCTGCTCCCCCCTTTCTCTTGGCAAACGCTGTTTGTGTGTTTAATTACCACTTTTGTTTTCCAGAGATGATGCTATTTTGTGATCTCGAGAAAATAACCTGTGACTTGGAGAAAACATCCTTTGTCTATGTTGAAATCACAAGAAAAATAAATTGTGTACTTGACATATGACAGAAAAACATAATGATGGATGTTCTCTATGGACTTCAATATAACGTGGAAAAGAAACAAATCAGTTTTGTGTTCATATGAATGGGCCCTGTTAAGTTCCTTGCTTTAGGTGTTTACACATAACAAATGGAAAGCAAAGTTATATCCATGTAAGCCCAATCCCTGACTTAAAACCGTGATGCAATCTGAGCCATGACGTTTCGGGTCTGTTGCACCCCTGTCATTTGCTTGTGAAGCTGTATTGGTATCGCTTGCCAGACGTCATCCCCATTAAGCTCCTTTCTTACTACAAGTTAAGTAAGTTCACAACAAGTCAGCAACTGATCCAAACAAAGTCAGAGAGTGCATAAATAAATGCACACTAATCACTAAATGGTAATAATATTTAAACGAATCAATGAATCAAATGAGCCCTAACGTGAGTAAGAGGTTGACTTCCTTTCCTGTCCAAGGAGCTGGTCAGATTGCAGCTGTTAATGTATATTCTGTGTGTATTATAGACTTCCTTAGAAGACTATATATCTGCGCATTGTGTCGCTGTGGTTGTGGAGGAGCCGTACTGCTCTCTGTCTCCCAGGCAGATAAAGACGAACTGTGCGGAGTCCTTCACAGAGTACTGGACCTGCCTGGACTACTCCAACCTGACGGAGCTGCGCCGCTGTCGTCAGCAGCAGTACGAGTTTGACAGCTGTGTCCTGGAGAAGCTTGGCTGGGAGCGACCCGGCTTGGGTGACTTGTCCAAGGTGAGATCTTACAGGTCAGGGTACGGAATCCTGTTAGCTAACGGGTGCTTTCAGGTGTTCCCAGTTTCATACTCACATTTAACTGTATGTCTAATTTAAAAATATGTACCCCTCCTTATTGCTTTTCAGGTTACTAAGGTGCAGACCAGCCGGCCTCTACCTGAAAATCCCTACCATTCAAGGCCTCGACCCGAGCCCAACCCGGTCATCGAGGGTGGTCTCCAGCCCGCCAAGCATGGCAGCCGTCTATTCTTCTGGAACTGGTGATGTGACATCAGCCGTGGAGCTCTCCACCCAAACATGGGGGCTGGTACGGTTCAGAGAGGACTTTCCTGTTGTACCATATAGTGCTCTCCTGTCACCTGCATAGCCAGGTTAATAAAAAGAAAAACCTCTAAGTGTGTGATGGAATAAAGTTGTAATTTAAACTGTTGTGGGGATGATTTAATGGACTCATTTTACATGGAAATTATCATTTCTCAGAAGCCTTCTTTCAGATTATGTTCTTTGTACTGCATGATACTACTGAATAGACATGTGCACACAGACTAGGCTCTGATTAAACCTTAGGATAGGGACAACGACTCCTTTTTCCAGAAACCAATGAGCATGGATCTCAGTTATTCAGTAGCCAACGATCATACAAATTGTCTTATAAGCAACTGAAATTCCAAGTCACTTTGAAGTAAAAACCCTGGCTTCAAGAGAAGGAACTACAGAATGATGGAGAAGATCTGATGCAAATTGGTTTCATGGTAACAGTGGCCACTGCTGCACCCAAGATGCACCGCGCAGCTTATGCAAGAGTGTTTCCAAATTAATGGATCCGCTGTCAGTTATGTATTCTCACACAACTTGACTGACTCAGATGAGCCCGTTGACATTAAACAAGAAGAAAGTCAAACTGAAAACAAAGATATCGGTGTTCTGAAAAATGTGTTCGTCTGTGGTATGATTTTGCAAATTATATTCAAGCTCTTCCTGCATCATTGGTGCTTCTGTAAATTTCTAAAGCTAATACTTAATGGGAATACACCTACGCACCTTGATCTCGCAGCCATTCCAGAGGGGCGTGCTATGAGTTAACTGGCTAACCTAACCTAACCTGCTTCGAGCAAGTTTAGGTGCCGGCTTTTGGATTAAAACAAACATAAGTCCTGTCCTGCCCTTTAACCAATGAATATACGAACCATCTCTTCACCAAAAATGCGAATTGTATAAGAGCCACCCTTTGAATAAATATTAAGGATGGATGATAATACTTTCTGTTAGATCTGATGCCAAGTTTTTAATCCCAATACTAATATCCAGTGCTGGGCCCTTGGCAGCCCCTTGCCAGCAGTAAATTAAATTTGCTGGGAGGGGGCGGGGTGCTAATGATAAAAGTTGTTCCTGGGGGGTGAGATATTACCTATCTATGGAAGGGGGGCATCCTTAGCAGTGTTGAAAATACCCCTTTTATGTGAATGTGTGCATACTCTGAGGCTTGGGTCTATCAAATTAAAACATCCCATTTTACTTTTCCGACAGCCAGAGTTGAGTAATTCAGGTCCAAAGAGTGAAAGTCCAGACTGGGATTTTGTTTCAACCAACCAGGTGAGACTATGACTCTTTATGCTCAACCTGGTTCTTTGAAACAAAACCTTGGTCTGGATTTTTACTCTCTGGACCTGAATTACTCAACTCTGCTAACAGCTAATGTGCATGGCTGCATCTGCAGTACATCCTGCAGGAATATGCTATAGATTGGTAGGAGTTACGGTGAGTTAATTTAAATAAACAAACAAATTAATAAATAAAATGAAACACTTCATCTGTCTTCCAATCGCTTGTGGGCAGTATTATTATTTGTCAAACCCTTGGCTTAAATTGCTGCTTAAATTGCTTTTTCTAGTATAGCTTTGGTCTTGTGCTTTTATTTGATGTCATATTGAAAGGTGGGTATTTGTAACAGTTGACCCATGTTTCACGTCTAAAAAAGCCTTAATGTGTTCAGTCTCTGGCAAAAAAGAGTTTTTCTGTGACCGCCATGCTTGAGGATAAGCTTGGTTTTGACTACGTAACTGTTCAATGACCAAAAGTTCTTTTGTAAATATACCAGAACTCAATTTGCATGAAAAACTCATAATGTCATAAATTTTGATTTCACAAGCTTGTGGCCTTGTTAAAATCTGCAGAACTAAGATTAATTTGTCTTCTGCGTGATGAGTCGATGGAATAATTCTGAAACACCTGTCATCGTCTGGGTTTCTCAAACACAGCCCTGTCCTTCAGAGACCCTGGGACAAGCCTCCGTCAGCTCCACGGCATGCACTTTGGCAGTTTTTTGGCCAGTTGTTCAATGTGCAGGGAGCACTGGACTCCTCAAAAGCTGTGTAGAGCATGTTCACGATCCAGTAGACACTCAAGGGCTCGATCCAACAAAACATAACCGGGAAAGGTCAGGTTGTATCAGGAAACCTCTATAAAAGAACTGCTGAAATGTGAGACCATGTCAGGCTTTGGTTCAAAGTGAAGATGAGAGGGGAACATCAGAGCCAGAGTTTCTAAACAATGGTGCACAGAAACCTATTGTCAGCTTTGAGATGTTTCCAGAAGACAACTCCTTGCAAACACATATCTATGACTATGGAACGTGTAATGAAATATTTCTTGCTATGGATGTACTGAAATGAAAAAAACTCAAATGTGTACACTGATATGTTACACTGCTGGTTTATCTCAGTTTGGATACTAAAATAGGTCAGTAGATGACCTGAACAGCCCTAACTCACCAAACCCAGTTACTGTCCTATACGCCTTTTTTTTTTTTTTTACCATAAATGACCTCATTTGCTTGTTTTTTTGTTGGCAGCATGACAGACGTTACTGAAGCAACCTGGACATCTTACAATGCTACTCTTTCGCCGGTTTTTATAGCTGGGTGTTGACTTCAACATTTCAGCAGGTTGCTCCAGATCCACTCTATGGGCTTTGACATTTGGACACAGGTCCTGTTTATTAGGCATCCAGCTGCCACCCTCTTTGGATTCCTCTGTTCATCCCATCAGTGCAGGACCATAATAAGGGACACACAGTGTCTAGGTCTTTTTTTATCAACCATATGTTTCTACTGTAATACCACCATAATCCATTAATAATCCAGGCTGCGGGTCTCAACGTCTCCTACTTACACCAAGATCCTTTTGGTTAGGACATCGCTCATAGCAAACCCAATTCGGCGAGAACACAGAGAAGCCTTTGCCCTGAGCCTTAGTCCAGTGCTGTTTGTAGACGATGAATCAGTCTAGTTGAAAAGAGCCAGATATTTCTTCTTTTGCTGACCAGATGTACGGTCAAGCACCTGGTCCCAAAGGGCCGTAAAAGGAGTTAAAACTAAGCAATGTCTTTTGAGAAAAAAAAACTAGTAATTCAATTCATTCACCTGTTAGGCGCTGTTCTGGCGGCTTTTATATGGTGAATATGTAAAATAACACATAAGTACAATTATGAAATTATGGATTTTGTGGATATATCTATCCCTTTCATATTTGTATGCAAAGGATAATTGTGTATTGTTGTTCCTTCTGTGTTTAATAGTTTTGCACATTCTGTGCTCCTGGCGTGCTTTCATAAACAATCACAGCTGTATTACGTACACAGTCAAAGCTAACCTTTTTTTTTTAAATTCGGTGTAACGTTTATACCAGCGATGTATCTTTTTTTTTTCATTTTATCCAAAAAGACATGCAATCTGGCTACATATTTGACTGGGACAGGTCAGATTTATTGCTGTTCTCCAGAGGATGACAGCAGAGCCCTTTAACGGCTTCCCGATAAGCCCCTACTGATAATAAGCATGCTGCCTGTTTCTCGCTGCTGAGCACTGGACCAGTGCTTCACCTGGAATGACTTTCAGGATATCTTTGAATAAAAATGATTTTCAAGCTATGTGTGGAGTTAAATAAGTAAAATTTAGTTTAGTTTAGTTTATAAATTGCCCCAATGGACTGGCATCCCTTCTGAGATGTTCCTTGCTTTATGTCTTGTGCTTCCTGGGATCAGAAACTGGATCTTCTTGATCATGCACTGGATGAGCAGCTGTGGAATGAATGAATAGCCATAGGCATTACTACTACAGACACATCGCTGAGCTGTATATGTCAGGCATCTGTGAGGCAAAGCTAAAATAACTTTGCATAGGCAAGTAAACAGCTCTTCTTTTCCTGGGGTGTCTGATTTATTATGGGACATGTTTCTCAATAGTGCCAAAGTGTTCTGCACTCTGTCCATGAATGGTAGGGAGCCATGCGTGGACGGGTGTGAGGGAACACGGGAGTCGCCTGACCCTCTCACACATGTCAGCAATTTGGCCACTTTGTATGTTTTGGATATGAAAAAGCATTTCAAAGAAAATAGCAAAAGGGGAGTTTCCTTTTTGCGTCTGGCAGCTGCGCCTTGCAGCAAATTGCTTTCAGCTGGTGCTGTACAGGTCAGGTTTGCTCCAGTAATATCAACTGATACGTTAGGGTTGTGAAAACGGTGATGTAAACATAAATGGAACAAGCGAATGCAGTGAAAGGTTCTATCTTGGTACTTGGTTGCCTGGTACTGCAAAGATAAGTCTTTTGGTGTGCAGTCCTGCTCTGTGCTTCATGGACACACTCATCTGGATGAGATTTCCTCTTTGTGGTGAGGCTGTGCATGTTTCTGTGAGGTCCTACCTTGTTTCCAGCAATCTGTGGCGTAAAGCTGAGAAATTGAGTTCTGTGAGTTTTAAGCTGCAAGGAGGGATTGTGGGTCTCTATTTGCGTGTGATTGGGATCTTTCTCCTTTTTCCCTAGCTAGTCCCCCTTAGAGGATTCCAAGACTCTCCTAGACCGATGAAGGAATGCCATCCATTCACTGACATCCTATAATTACTATGTAATTTAACCATTAACTTTCCAAAGATCATGAGCTTGTCATGGTAAGGGGCCCCTGCAGTTCTAATACCTGTAAACAATTCCTGTTTGGGTCTCCTGTGGTGAACAGGTCTTAGGTGAAACACATTTTGCAAGGGAGGACAACCAGAGCTGACCCACATAACTGGATCAAAGACAAGGGGCCTGTATGACAAAGCAGGATTTCTAAATGGACTTTATCTTCGTTCACTTGCATTTAACCTGCAATCCCTTAAATCCGACAAAGTATCTGACTAAGCAAGAAATCCTGCTTCATGATACAGACCCAAGGTGTCATGGGCTCTTACTTTACTGGCTTCTGCAGATAATAATACTAATAACATTAATAATAATGAAATTAATGAAGCAAATTCAAGATATGTAAACAAAACATACATTATAAATACAAAATCTGCAGATCACAGAAATCAAATATAAATATAATTGCATAAAATAACAAATACAGATCCATCCATCTATTTTCCATACTTGTTCATCTGGTACAAGGTTG